TGTATCCTTTACTTACTTTTTTTACTTATATATCGTCGCTCACAGTTCTTACAATTCACAACTAAATTGAATCCAAGTCCCCTAATATTCGATTCACCAATAGTAACATTTGACACGATTAATCACACGATGTACACTTTATAATACTGCTTAAAGTTGTAAACAGCGATGCAAATTCAATTATTCTGTATCCGCGGATTTATTATTATACCCCAAAGTAAATTTTCTATCTTATTTCTAAGACTTCAAACTACTATTTAAAACAGAACAAAAGAAAATTTTTTGAAAATGTCAAACTATCCTGACCGACGAAAGGCAGTGGGTTGATGCAGTATTAACGTCTACTCTAAATCATTTGATTCGTAGCTCGATATACTCGGGTGGATATAAATATTTATAACGCCAACAGGACAAAGCGGAACGTGTTTCTTCTCATTGTACGACGATCGAAATGAAAATTAAAATTACGCTCGTTCCCCAAAAAAGTTCGATAACATCGACGAATTAACAGTTGCTCTCGCGACGATGAGCCCACTCGAGAAACTGACTCGTCGGGAATTTATTTTTAGTGTTAATCTGTACGACGCGCGAGACACCTCGCCATCGACATTTCCCAATTTTCGAAACGAACAAAGTTCTGATCTCATCTTTTAAGCCTTTTTCTTCTTCTTTTTCTTTCAAAAAACGAACGAAATGGTCGAGGCAGATACGAGGCATGCTCACGTACGCACGGAGGAGGAGGTCGAACAAAGGCGAGATGATTAAGAAACGCACCGGCCGTGGAGAGGAGAGACAAGTCGAGAGTAAGATTGAAAGTAGCGTCGTAAATCGAGCATTGACCCTTTTTGGAATTCTTCCGCTCACCGGGAAAAGTGGACGGACGGAGCGAGTTCGAGAGCGTGTACGACTACTCGGAAACGCCGGGTGCGTGTGCGCAGCGGTGAAACGTAATCGAAGGTACGGCACGGTGTGTTGTGTATTCCGGAGTTTCCCAACTCCGTTGACCCGAGCCGCGTTTTCTGGCACACGAACGGGACACGTCCTCGTGAATCTCCTCGTAGCGCAGCGTTTCTCCTCTTTTTTTTCTTTTTTTTTTTTTTTTAAACTGCAGTCCGTCAACTTTATATAGAACCAACCGTCGTGGTGAACTGCAAGTAATTTTTAGCCTGGTCTAGTAAATTTAGTCGAAAGGTAAGGATACTTTAACGCTCGACGTGTTTTATGGCTATTAAAAAAAAAAAAAAAAAAAAAAAAATAAAGAGAAACAAGAACGGAGCAAAGGGTGTAGAGAACCTTCGGCGACTCGGATTTACGTTTGAAAGTTTTCTGAAAATTGTCATCCTCGAGTCGTGTAACTCCATAATGAACAGGGGACGGTTCGTTCGCGAGATGGTTCGTTGAAAGAGAAAGAGACGATTTGGCTGTGATCGGACGATGCTTTTGTCGTTCTAGTACAGTGACGGCGAACCTTTTTTGATAAGTAGGTCAAATTTTGTTCATTATTTTCTTTAGTACTAGCTCGTCGGTCACTAAGTCAGTGGCGTCAGGGGAAAATGGTTAAAAACTACTTTTTTTTAGTTCTCGCTTTTATAGAAACCTCTAAAAAGTTTACGTTTCCCTTTTGCTTTACCACTTTTACTTTTGCAAGTGAAGAGCAAAAAATAAATGTCGACGTCGAAAAATTGATATAAAAAGGGGTGACATTATGCCCAGTCATCCCTGCATTATACATTAGATACATATACTTTATTTCTTAATATTTTTTATTGGCTGTTCTCTCTTTTATTATATATAAAAAACTAGCAAAGCTACCCATTCTGAGAATGGGATCTAGTGTGGTTTTTAGTATTTGTATTATCTGTTTAATCGTAAGCGCTATATAAAATTTTTTCGACACAACTAACTCATATAACATTTAAGACTTAAAATACCTATATATGTATACATAACAAAGTCGTAAATCCTCCGTAAAGACTTAAAATACCTATATGTATACTTATTTATTACCTATATATATATATATATATATATATATATATATATATATACATATACGTATTTTTTTTTATATGTATACTTATTTATTACTTATACGTATTTATTACTTACCTACACTTATTTATTACCTACGTATTTTTTTTTATATGTATACTTATTTATTACCTATATA